AAACTATTTCAAACTTAAAGTAAAGATCTACTTGGCCGATTGAACTGAAACTTTGTAGGAATGATCGAATCATGGTCCTGACAAAGTGTTGTTATTTTTCGGGTCAATCAGAAATACAATTTGGCTGCCATGGCCGCTATTTTGCTACTAAGTTCTAATAGGCCGATCTCACTTAAAATTGGTCTAGGAATGATCAGCTCATGGTCCTGACAAAGTTAAGTTAACATTATACTATTTTTTACTCAAATTGGTACATATTTCAACAACAAAAATAAATACTATAGACTCAGGTGACCGTTAAGGCCCATGGGCCTCTTGTTTTAATACAGGGTCTACAAACAATAAACAAGGTCTATTACTTAATTGAGTTAACCATGTACAAAGGTTTTTGTCATAATATTTTCTTAATACTGGGTCTACTAACAATAAACAAGGTCTATTACTTAATTGAGTTAACAATGTTCTTTTAATCAAAATAATGCGGAGAGAAAAAAATCAAATCAAGGGACTCCAGTTTTCCCTTGACTAGGTTTTTTCTCATGTTCGATTTTATGTCCAAATTGTTTACTTATTTGAGAAATTGAAAGCCATGTTTTTAAATACTTTTTTTGTCACTGGTAATGATTTTTTTTGTAGGGAGTAAAGACAACACATGTCGAATATGGAGGTGATGTTAGTCAAGGAAACAAACTATGTCAGTATTAAACATTTTTGCCAGTCTACATGGAAGACAGGTTCATACATCACGGCAACATCTTCTTCCATCATCAGCTGTAGGCCTGATCACCAAGGTTACAGAGGTCATTTGCATTAGTGACGGACATCAACCAATGGGAACTCCTGTTACAGTATTTGTCTCCAGGATATTCTACTTTTTTAGGAATCCATTTCAACTATCAGGATGCACTAAGATATATCGGATGTGATAATTCCAACTGAATGGAGTGACCAATTTCTAGTTTTCCATTTCATGATATAGTTTGTCATGACTGGATTCCTCACTCCTAGAAGTAGGTTTTGAATTAAATTGCCTGTTACGAGAGGGTTAAGAAACAGTACTGGAGAGCAAGGAGTCTAGTTTTTCTTATAGCAAGCCAGGAAGTAAGAATAGATAGTTAATCATGAATGCTTGAATAAATGAATTTGCTTGTCAGTAATTTGATTAGAAGAGTCTGTTTGAAATGATTTATATTACATTAAACATTGGACATGTGTTTTAGCTATTTGATGGCATTGTCCACATGCACAGCTTTGAATTCATGAATTTACATCATGCAACATAGGTCAGTGTATCATGGAAAATTAGAGTAGTATGGCTACATAAAGCAGATACTCCCAGTGTTAACAGTTGGATTTTATATAAAGTGAGAAAAATTAACTGTCTACCAAATATGTAGAAACTTTCAAATCAGTTAGAAATTTAGAGCTGTATAAACTGCTATTTTAACACTGCAAGAACGAGCTTGTATGTTTTTATAAATATAGAATGTGAAGTGTAAAAAGTGTTACTTATTTAAAAAGAATGAATCATTTGTGTTGATTTTTAAGATGAACTGTATATATTTTTATTGTTTTTACAAAAAAATACATTCCAGCTTTTTCTTGGTTGTGTGAAATATTTATTGAATGATTCACGGTGGGTTTTTTTAATATGAATAAAAAAAACACCAAGAAGATACGTCAAAAAATATTCTAACAATATTATCGGCGACAAACCTAAAGAAATGTTTGCACAGATGCAATCATCAGATGTTCCTTTTTCTATGTGTACAATCATGTATATCATATTTTACCAGGAATTTCTGTTCTATACATCTTCCCTGTACAATGTGAGAGGTAGTGAGGCAATAACCTTTATAAAGTAAGATTACAGCTTATTATATGAAATTTTATTGCAAACAATACTTAACATGTGATTTTGTAAAGAAAAAATATTCAGTATATATACAGTTGTCTGGAATCCGGTCGGTCTAACCTAACAAATAAAAACTGTTCCTTTTACCTCTGACAAAGAAATGTATAACTCACCCAAGTTCTAAAGTTTGAACTTGTTCAATTTTTTCTGCAACTGCTGCCATCACAATGACATTGACATAGTTTAATATTATGATGTCATGATATAATAAAGGTTTTGAGTGCTAAATTCTATTTTTATAAAATTTACGTGTTTAGTTTGGAGACAAATAATTAATTAATTGTTCATAGTAACTGATTGGTGTCGTTCTCAGTTCGATAGGATTTGTTCCTTTCACTGAAATATTGGTATCAATAATAAACAGATATAGATCAGAGAGTTTAATTAGTTTGTGACGTAAAATGATAAAATTGTTTAACTATTTATCAATATGTTTATCTAAAAATCTCTTTTAAGCTTCCGTCCATTGATTTATACAATCTGTGTTTGACCGTGATTATAACTACATATACATCTATTTTGAACACCTAATCAATTAATTACCTTTACAACCCTTATACATATTGTAGTTATTATGACAGCACTAGTCAGTATATCAGTGGTGATTAAGTTATATTAAACATCAATAACTGATCTTGTTGTACATAGATCAATTTTATTGAAACATTACTCATATCTCTGTTTATTATTTGTGACATGTTTTTAATTTAATTTATTCAAAATGATATCCATCCAGGTTTTTCATTCCGTCCTTGAATTGTATAACATAACATATATTAATTTATGAACAAAAGGCATTTTGGATTATTTTTCATGTTCCGTCTTGTTTTAGTTTGTATTCAATAGTTTTACATACATATTTACAAAATATCTGTCTGCAGAAATAAAATAAAAAGTTGTTTAAACCTGATTAATAACAGTTTGAAGTATGACTTATAAACTGCAATGTTTTCACAGTTTAAACATTTATAGCTGTACATGAAGCTGCCAGGTCTTTCCAATAACAACAACAAAACATGATTAGGGACATGGATAACAGGAATGATAGATCCGCACTGGTACTACAGTATCTATGTCGTTATGACAAATGGGGCTGCTCAATTAATGAACATTTAACCAACAATTTCCAGACATGCTCTCTTTGGTGTTATGTGACTAGACTGTTACTGATTTAAACTTTATTTATCTTACAACAGTTTTGAAAAAAGTGTTTAATTATATGAATCACTAATCTCTTTGGGGTTTTTTTTTGGGGGGGGNTCTGAAGAAAATATCTGAAATATGATCTTATTGTTATGTTTAGGGGAGGTATTATGATATACTGCTGAAACTATGTATTTCTCATTACTGTGGAGGGTATGTATGACTTAACATTGTTATGCTGTCTGTGAAAACCATTTGCTTTTGTGTGGTTTTGTCAAAGTGCATGTAGATTTTGATTTCATTTCTACAGTACAGACTGTCTAAACACACTGACCTTTTAGATTGCACTTTTGTATAGCCTTTGCTTCAGTCCACTTCATCCTAGCTAGGGCCACAAACTACCCAGAATAAGCAACAGTAAAGTGATCTCGGCATTGTCTTCATTTATACTGTGGACAATATCTCTAATTCACTTATTCTGTGCGGGAGGATAAACAATAATAAATTAGAAGAGGATATTGAAATTAATTGAAAGTTACTTACTGTGACATAGAACATATATGAGATGGGAGTTGGTCATTACTGTGCAATTGCAAGACAAGATTGATTTATTTATTGCAAAAGCTTTTCATCTTTTTAAAACTTACTTTCAAAACTGTAGGGAAATTTAAAACAAAATCAATGTTGAAATTTCAATTAAAAAAAATTGAAATTGTATTTAGGGAAACAATGGAAATTAATTGGTTTAAATGAAATTGTATGTAGGGAAACAATGGAAATTAATTGGTTTAAACAGTCTGAATATTTCTGTAATGAAATTGAATTTTAACTTTTTAGCAAACAAAAAATTTCAAATATTTTTCTGAAATATGTCTTAACTGGTCAGAGTAATAGGAAACAAAAACAATGTTTTACAATACCAGGTATATGGAATGTGTAATACCTGCAACACGATCCCTGTACTTACACTGACACTATAACACAAGAAAACATGACATTGGTGTGTATTACAGTTTACAGTGATTACCACTTATCTGTGTGTAGTGATGGCATGGGCCAATGGTCGATTATAAATGAATCGGTCGGTGTTCCCTTTACAATTCCAATTATTGATAACAAATTCCAAAATTGATATAATAAGTTAATAACTGAATTTGAGTGTCAAGTATTATTGTATACAATGTACATTAGACATAGAAAGTCTTTTATTTCATTGATTTTTATTATATGATTGAAGTCAGTGTTGAAAAACACCTTTAAACTGTCTGAAAGTTTGTTGTAAAAGAATTAAACCTAAATAGTAAATAACTCTTGACTATTGATGTAACAGTAGTGTAGTCTATTTATTTCAGTATTCAGTTCCATAAAATTATATGCAATGGATAATCGATCAATAAACTACATGTACTTCTGATTACAAATCAATTAACAATTATGATCTTTAACTAACCATCCATCATTATTGTTGTGTCACAAAGTTCAAAGGTCAATGAGGATAGGATTGGTTCAGATTGTGTTAAAAACAAAAACTGTTCTTTGTTATGTGTGCAATTCACGCTTTCAAAAATTAAATGGAAGTATATACAAAAAATAGTCATTTGTGTTTGTTATCACTTTGTTTTGAAATTGTAGAAATGAGACAAAAATAATTTCACTGTCAATTTTCCTAGAGAACAAGAACACAGGGGTTGCTTCATAACAAGAGGCCCAGAGGGCCTGTATCGCTCACCTGGATACCAAAGCAATCATGGCAAAATATTCTCCGAATGAGATCAAGGGAATATGCCAGACCCCAAGGCCAATCCTTGTAGCATATCTGTAAAAAATTTACATGCCCAGCAATTTTATGTATGGTTATGGGGTGGGGATCTCAACTGTTTCCAAGCTTTGACTCGGAAACTAGGTCCCTAGGGTTGTGGTCAGACCCCAGGATTACCCCAAAACATTAATCAAGTCCAATTAAGCTGTTTTTTGGGCCATAAAATATGAAAATATGGTGCAGCACATTGCTTACACTCATATAAATGACCTAAACTCATAATGGACAACTTGCGATTGAGTGTGATGATCCAACATTGTCTGGAAAAAACCTGCCGAAAAACTTTAACCTCAAATTTAACTAAGTCCAATTAAGCTGTTTTTGGGCCATAAAATATGAAAATATGGTCCAGCACATTGCTTACACTCGATATAAATGACTAACTCATAATAGGCAACTGTGTATTGAGTGATGATCCAACACTGTCTGGAAAAAACTTTAACCTTCGAAGGTTCCTGGATGCCGACGCTGGGGTGTCTACATTATTTCTTGGAATAGGCGAGCTAAAACCGATGGGTCAAAAAGAAATGTGATTGGAATTATTAGTTTATCCCAGTCACTCGGACAACAGAAGTCAATGTGGTATGTGTCAGAAACTCTTGAATTGGTAAAGCAAGAGGCCAAATGGGCCTGTACCACTCACCCTGTTTTCAATGTCTATCAAAATCAAATCAAACAAAACTTGACAAACTTCTATAGTCTTTACTGAAATTGTCCTAATAGCATATTCCTTGGTCTCTTGGTTGTTAAAAACAATAACACATTTTACCCCTGTAACCTTGGTCAAGATTATTTATTTGAACATTTTTATGGTCCTTTATTATCTAGCATGTTTTGACCAAATATCATGATCCTAGGTCTCCTTGTTATTCGGAAGAAGTTTGAATATAGACTTTACACAATCAAGGTCTGTCATTTGAAAAAAACAGGACAGTTCTTCATCCCAGCTTCCTACTGCTCAAATATCTTCCCTTTAGGCCTAATGGTTATTCCACCAGCTACTTGGCCTAGGCCTCTAGGCTAGGCAAGCTTAAGAATAACAAAAAACAAGCAAACAATATGTTCATCATTAAATAGTACCATTTTATTTATCATACAACAAACTTTTTGTCTTCAAGTTCAGGTTTTCCTTTGAATTAATACTGAGCCGATGCCTAAAGAAAGTAAGTCAACTGGTCTTGGTGAATTCATCAGTTGTGGATTGTCAGTCATGATATGACAGAATCCACTGACAGCCTCCATGATCAATCAGAAGGCATTCAAAGTTATGTCCTTTTGTAATGAAAGTTTTGATAAATATGCCGGTACTGATGTTCTTTCTCCATCCAAAAAGTTATATGACAAGTTTAATAAAAAAGATATCGGTCGGTTTTTAACACATTTACAGGGTGATTTCTTGTATGGAGTGTCAAAATTGTATCATTTTGCCACCCTGTAATAATGCCACTTCTCTATGCATCCCATAAAACCAGTTATTAAACAAATGTTTGCACAAAACATCACAGAGACTGCCTTCAGTGTCACATCCTATTCATCCAGAGCCTCTAGACCCTGTAACACAAAAGACTGTCAATGAAGAGGGTACAAATCACTCTGTAGCTTTGTTTTTAGTGTTATCTTCACATTGGACAAAGTAGTTAGAATGCCCATCTTTCTACTGTGTTTTAAAAATCTAGGGTATTGAATACTTGATTAGAACTTTTCAATTTCAAATTAAAGAACAAAGAACATGTGCTACTCATCTGCTGTTTAATTCATATACAGGGTGACGCAATTTCAGACATGTCTTCAAAAAATTTAATGAATTTTTTATTTCACATGCATATAATATTGTTCATTTCTGAAAATTGGTAATAGGACCTACGGGAAAATTTACAGTAACACATTGCAAGGCAGGTAACTTTTAACTGTCTGTCCAAACCAAACATTATAGGACTGGTTAAATATTGAACAAATTCCATTGAATATCAATCACATTTTATTGATATACCGTAAGTTGAAGACGTTATCATTGATGATGAATAATCAAGCAAATTGCAGTTTCCTAATTTAAAGCAGATCTTTCCACCTTAAAACTTGCTCTAGTCTTCATACAATGCTTATTACAAGCTTCATCAAAACTGAATAATATCAATGCTTACAGAAACCAAGGTTTGGACAGACAGGTGCTCCCAATATGGGTGTATTTAAAAAGTGTCCCAGAATGTTAAGTACATGCATCAACATTTGCAGTGGTGAGTCATATATATATACAAACTGTGTAACCTTCATGAACATAACAATCATGTAGAACTAAAGAAATAAAATCTTGTCATTACCTTTGGTTTGTACACAGAGCCAAATTTATAGATGTCGCGCACATACATCCTGTAGTCAACTTCATCTGCATGAAAGTACCTCTGAGTATACTACAATGGAGAAATTGTATTTAAATTACATAATTATGTTATATACGAAACATTCCTATCATATCTCACAATATTGGTTTGGTTTGTTTGAAACCTACGTCCTTTTTAGCTATGGTCACTTAAGGATGTGCCAGGTTTTGGTGATTAAGGAAAACCTGGGTGCCTGGAGAAAAACCACCAACCTGTGGCCAGTACCTGGTGACTGCCCCACAAAAATACTTGAACCCACAATCCATTGGCGGAGGGCAATTATGTAAGCCTCAAATCCATGACCCAGTGGTGGAGTAGTGATCGTAGATGGCTATAGATGTCTTAACCACTCGACCACCACAGCCTATTCGCAATATGTCTAAGACTGTGCCTGTGGTCTAGTTTATTCCCAGTATCACTTTTAAGGATCCCTGTGTTTTTTCGGCAGAGCTGATTAAGATCAAATTGAGATCTGCCTTAGTTTGGTTGGAAAATACCTGTAATATTATATGACGAGCTATAAGTAGCCCCATTGTTAATGGTACACAAAAACAGATATATACTTCACTTGGTAAAAATATTTAGCAAAACGGATTGAATTTAAAACTATAAAGCAAGCTGGATTTCAGCAGACCACGCCAAATTGATAGGGTTCTTGTCCACCAGGACAACCCATATACTAAATTTGAACTTTGTATGATCAATCATTCTAAAATTATCACCCAGACAAGCCCAACGAAGCAGAATTATATTTTTTAGCAACGCTCACCTTGACCTCTAGCAACCATGCTCAAATTGATGGGGTTCTTTACAGTTCACATCCCAACAGCAACATTCAATATGAGCTAATGAAGAAGGCAATGCAACCAAAATAAATCAATGAAAAATAGTTCAAGGTGGTTGAGAGACAGGAAAATCTAACATAGATGAAGCCATGTAAATAGGAGCAGAGCCGACATTTGTTCTCACTCATGTCCAACTACCGGTGACAGAAATTTGAAGAACATCTCAAAAACAATTGCTATATTTGCTTTGGCCTAATGAGTCTCTTTAGCTTAAAACTGACAGTGCAAGTTAAAAAGCTTTCAATTGAGATTGAAAAAAAAAATGAAAATATTTTTCTGGTTTTGAGATCTTCCCCATTTCTTCTGACTATCGTTTCTTAGGAAGTGCCAACATTTTGACCCCTGTGACCTTGAAGTCATTTTAATTAGCAAACTTTGTTGGGCTCTATTCCAAGAAGCTACCAACCACATGTTAAGATTCTATACTTTTCTGTTTTTCAGAAGAAGTCGTTTGAATTATTTGACACTTTTGACCCCTGTGACCTTGATACAATGTAGGTCAAGGTCATTTTCGTTCTCAAACTTTGTTGGGCTCTTACCAACGTAGCTATCACTCAAATATCATGACTCTAGGCCTGTCCATTCTTCAGAAGAAGTTGTTTAAAGAAAAAGTTGAAAGACTGATGCAGATGGATGAACGCCGACGCAGGACGGAAAACAGACACTGCGCCATGGCATAAGCTCACTAGCCCTTTGGGCAGGTGAGCTAAAACTATATGAGGCTTGACATTGTTTTTTAAAGAAATAACACTAGCAATTGTCAGCATTTCAGTTTCGGTTAGGTACGCCTGGACCCCTCAATCTACATGTGCCGAATATTCCTGAGGTCAGCCTCGGTTCAGATCTGTACCAAAATGAGCACCATTTGTACACAAGACTAATATGTCATAATCATTTTAACCCTTGCCTGTATATCAATCCTTGGCTACATTCGCATATCCAGTTGAAACGGTTAAACCTGTAAAGAAAACGACAGGTACAGATTTGGGCCGAGGCTGACCTCAGGAAAATTTGGCACGTGTAGATTGAGGGGTCCAGACGTACCTGAACGAAACTAAAATGCTGACTCTTGCCAATTTGCGTTATTTCTTTCTTAAACAATGTCAAGCCACATGTAGTTTTTAAGATACGTTATGTAATTCAGTGGACGCATGAAAGAAGGGCATACTATTCTTGATACATTGTTTTTATTCTCCAAAACTGTGTATTTTTAGCTCTGCTTACAGAACGGTCCATTAGTGCGTTCACTTATCGTGGAGTATTTCTGCGTCACACGTAACGTTTCAACCGGGTTACGCGAATGTAGCCTAAGTCTGTTTCAAGGTCATTTTCGTTGATCGCGATCCAAAAGGATGAACCGGTTTGACCACATGTAGTCTGTAGTGATGATAATCAGTTGTTCGTTTAAGAAATGAGGTCGGACCCAGTAATCTGATGCTTTTTTCAGGCGAGCCTTGACAAAGCCTTGGAAGGCTTGCATAAACATTTGTAGGTCCGCCAGAATTTATACCCAAAGATGTATGTTTAACGTACGTACCGTTTGTTCCACATACACGTCAGGGCCAGAGGAAACGAAATGTCTGGTTACAGCGTACATTGATCTGCTAAACGCTTCAGAATTAGAAACACCATATTCCTCACCTTTCTATCTTTGCGGAAGATCCATGCTACGATTGGGGGTACAATAGGTGAAGACAACAACAGTCCGGTGAAAATTACACCACTCGGTAAGATTTCGAACCACATCTTTCATCCAAACCTCCGATGAGATGACCTTGACAATAAAGCCAATAGGTAAAGCCAATGTTACAAAAATAGGCAAGTTTCGTATTCTAATGACGCCCTATATTATCAAAAATAGTATACTACGTTGTCTATTTTATTTTATTCTAATTGTTAATAAAGAACCTTTAGAATGTTGTGAGGACTCATCGGAAATTAAATATGTTTTCAAGAAAAAATATCTAGGCTCCTTTCATTTATATGGAACAACCAATTTGTTTAGATATACTTCACGGACTTATTAATTCTGTGAAACGGTAATTGCTTTCTATTTAATGAATAATTATAAAGAGTATCAGTGAAAATTTAGTGAATATTAATGAAAATTTTCAGTGTCAAAACACTTGGAAAGTTCCTACTAGACTACTAATTGGTTTTATCGGTCTAATATGATAGGCGACAGCGGCCCAGATCCTGATCAGTTGAATGATTTAAGCGTTCTTGTGATAACGATTTAAAATGAAAACAAACCGTGCACAGAATGTAGATGACCGAATAGCGCCTACCACCGTAGTTTAGAAAGCACGTTTATCTCAAAACAAACACAATGACGCATGATAAAAATGACAAACAGAAGTCATCATCGAAGCGAAGAGATAGAGAAAACCCTCCATCGAAGGTAACCTAGGCCTACTCAGTCATGACAGTATCGATATTTACTCATCCCCCCCTCCCCACTCATACACACACACTTTATTTTGCTTCGATTGCTCAACTGTCTAATTAAGAAGACATGGAGAAAACATTACTTGCAGATTGGAAATCCACCCAAACCCTAAACTAGGTCGGCTTGACATTTTGCTCAAATAGATTTAACCCTTTGAGTGCCACAGGAATCTCCTTAGAGAGTGCCAAGCCAAATTCTGATCAAAATGTGATTTGGAAATATATCGGTATGGGTAAAAGCCGAAAAGTGTCGAAAAGTAGCGGAAAAG